TTTTTCATGTTTGATCACTGATATTAGTTTTGGCATATCAAGCCCCATATACATATCCATTTAATCGTATAAACACCTTTTCAAAAACCCTTGATTTGATTTGATTTATTTCGAAATTCTCACAACTAAACAGAATACAAAATTAAACGAATTAAACAACAATAAGATAATTTCAGGATAACCCTTTAAGCATTTTGCTTTTTTCTGAAGGGGTCAACGATAAACGCCCTGGGGCGTTTATTCAAATAAATATAGTATGTGTAGATGCACTGTACTGTAATATTGTAAAACTTTGATAGAAGCCCAATGGCTTAATCTTGAGAAGAAGCCCATTTTGAATTGAAACCCCCCCCCATTATTTGCAAAAGTAGCCTCGAAAGGAAGCCCATCTCGAAAAGAAGCCCATGGACATATCTTTTCAAGATAGGATGGGCTTTTTTTGAGATAGTATAATAATTCTAGATTTATATAGCGCCTCACGTTGTCACAAACTCGCTTAACAACAACAGAGAAGAAAATAAACCAAAAACAAATTTACAAATGTGCCAAGTATTATTATCAAATATTTTAGGTTTTAGTTTATTTTAATTAAGTTTTAAATGATTAGTTTGATGAATATTATTATTACAATAATTTGTTAATTGTAATTAATATATATATACACACTGTACATGAATTTCAAAGATACAAAATAAATAAAAATCACACTTGGTTTATACAGTAGTTTAAGTAATTTAATGCTGGTTAATACACCCATGACACAGGTTGATGTTACAGTGGCCCTATTTATTGTTTTATAGTAGTAATTCCCAAAATTTACATCATTCATTTTGAAAAGAAGCCCCCCTCTTTACTCAGCCCAAGGCTTCAATTAGAGGTTTTACGTTATAAATATATAAAAATTATAGATAAGTAAGAGGAATTTGTTATATTTTTTATTTACTGTATTTTCAACTCCTAACAACGAGCTATAATAATGGATAAATAATGAATTGACTAAATAAATTCCACTATATAAATTCCAATACATACATTCATGTGAATGAATGGACAGTAAAGAACTTCAAATAATGCATCTCGAGTGCAACAAATAAATTTGATGTAAACTGCAAATCACAAAGGGATATGCTAGTAATTTTAGAACAGAAATGATGACTTAAAGGCTGGGGCCCAAAATCATAAACACTAATTACAGTTGATCAGTCAAAATGACAACTATAAATGAATATGTTTGTACAGTACAACAATAATTATGGAAAGTAAATTAACTCAATTTTGTAAAGAAATAAGTGTTGTGGCTTTACTAGTGTATTGGTGTACATTTCTTGTATGTTGTTGTTGTTTGTTGTAATTAATATAACATTTACATTTTAGCTTTTGTTTTTCAATTTCGCTTCTCTACAAAGACCTATTTATTGTTTTCCACACCATTGTTGTTTACCAGTACAGTATTTTTTTTAATAACAAATAATTAATAACACTAATGCTCGAATAGGAACTGTTAATTGTCTTAATTGTATCAAGCATAGACCTTCACTGAAAAGTTCCTATTTCAGTTGTATGAAAGAAAGTGTCTAGCAGGATTCAAACCTGTCGCCTTTTGCTGGCAAGGGGAGTGTGATACCTTTAGACCACAAGGACACATACGGTATAGGCGCAGTTACAAGCCCCAGGCATTTCCTCTCATACAACTCACTTTTACCCTTGGTAGAGCCATGTATATGCTAGAAACTAGCTTGTAGGTCACAGCAAGAAATCATAGTAAATATGAAGCAAAACCTACTTTTATATATATACGACTATATGCTACCATAGGGGGAAACGATAAAAATGGAAAGGGTTAGAAATAATACCTTAAGGCAAGAATACTGCCGCTAAGGGGAAATTTTAACGACGTTAAGGAGAAATATAGACAAAGGATTTTTCACCCTATGAGTTAGTTATGAGTACCTGTAGTATATATATACCTACTTATATATTACCATACTTAGCGACACTACTT